GACGCCTCCTATTCTGAATTGTTAACTAATTCTCCATCACTTTTCCCATCTGGATGTGGCAGGTCAGCAGAGCTTTGATTGGATCCATCGATTATGGAATTTCTTAGCTTCGTCTATTGCATGCGGATTCCACTATTTGGCATGCATGTAGTTTTGTGTTGTAGTTTCACCAGATTGGATCTTAATTTTAGATTTACCTTGTTGCTGCTTCTGCATGCCTTTCTGTGCTTTTCTTTGAAACAGGATTGTTTCCCTGACTTTATGGTAGTGGTAGAGTGAGAAATATGCCAAGCCATGAATTTACAGATTGTGTGGTTGAATAGACTTCTGTCTGCAGTTGGCTCACAACACCTTCAGCTGTTCTTGGTCCAGATCTCCCTTTTTACCTTACAGTTTGGTGAGGGGCCATCAATTGTTTTTATAAAGTAGATGAAATTTGAAATCCCAGGTATTCACTAAAAGAATAAAGCAAGCAGATTCCACAGTAGTAAACAAACAGAAGAAATGTTACAAGACAATAGTCAACAAAACAAACAGTAAATATAAAATAAAACAAAGAAATGTGGATGCTGAAGATCTGAAACATAAACAGAAATTGCTGGTCTCAGCAGATCTGGCTGCTTTAGTGGAGAGAAACTAGAGTTTACATTTTAAGTACAGTGAGTCTTCTTCAGAACGATTCTTGCAGTGTTGCTTCTTACACCCCTCTGCACACTGCACAACCCAGAGAAACAGAGTCTGTCCAACTGCTCTTCTTTCTCTTTAGTTCTATCCTATCGTTTACTTCCTACCCCAGCCCCCTCCCCTTTTTTGCATATAAATAGATGTTTTCCCAGCCACCATCAGTTTTGAGGAAGGGTCACCGGATCCGAAACATTAACTCTGTTTTTTTCCTTCACAGATGCTGCCAGACCTGCTGAGCTTTTCCGGCAACTTCTGTTTTTGTTCCTGATTTACAGCATCAGCAGTTCTTTTGGTTTTTAAACAGGTATCATTGTCAGATTCCCCCACGCAGTAGACCTGACCTAAATCTATCTAACTTAGCAAGGTATTGGTGCCCCTCAAGACTGCGTATGGTATCCCACTTCTCATAATGCATCCAGAAAGAGTATTTCTAATCGAGTAAACTCATTAGCGACTGGAGGTTGTAGACATGCTCGCCGAGCCAGTGTGTTTAATTGCAGATGTTTCATCACCCTGTTAGGTAACATCTTCAGTGCGCCTCTGGTGAAGTGTTGGTGTTCTGTCCCACCTGTTATTTATTTGTCTCGGTTTGATGGGCTGGTTGGCATCACTTCCGGTTCTGTTTTTCAGTGGTTTGTATATCAGGTCCAGTTCAATGTGTTTGTTGATGGCATTCTGGTTGCAATGCCAGGCCTCCAGGAATTCCCTGGCATGTCTCTGTTTGGCTTTTGCGATTATGGATGTGTTGCCCCAGTTGAATTCTTTGTCCATGTGTATTGAGACCAGTGAGACTTGGTCGTGTCTTTAGGTGGCCAGTTGGTGTTTGTGTATCCTTATTGTCAGTTTTCTTCCAGTTTGGCCTATGTAATGTTTCTCACAGTCCTTACTTGCATGAGAACAGGTACTATCACAAAGCCTAAAATAGAAACCACCTATCAACAATCAACAGGCACGGAAAACAGCTGCACAGAACGGTCACAGAATGATAAGGGTTATGATCAAAGATGCCCACAACCACCTCCACAAATACGAGTGGGAAACTGCACACCAAAAAAATACTTTGTACTCCAACGCAACCGACCAAGAATGGGCAACTGCACTGGAACAAGCCATCACCGTACAACAACAAAGGACCAGAACAAAAAAATGAATAGCCCTACAAGGAAAACTATCCAAACTCGCCCACAACAACAATACGGATCAAGAACATCCGGACCAACCACATACAGACACTGAGAAGACCGTCCTAGTACATGGACTGAATTATAATTACAGAGCTATCAAAAAACACTGACTTCCTGGCTGCACTGGAATTGGCACTGAAGAGCGATGGACACTTGTTGGAAATACAGCAGATCATCAGACAGATGATAGTCCTAACACTGAGCAGAACATGTAAGTGGAACACATTCAGCACAGAAGAGCAGAAAGCCCTGGAAAGACTCAAGAAAGACAGAAATATAATTTTACTAGTGGACAAAGGACGTATGACAGTAATTCTTAATAGAGGCCAATACACCGATAAAGCTAACTCACTACTAGCAGATACCGATGCCTACCTACAGTTGGCAATAGACCCAACACAACTGGATTAAAACAACCCTGCTGAAATTACACAACTCGGGAGATATCAGCAAGACAGACGAGCAAAAAGTGAAGCCAGAGGGATCCAACACACCCTGCTTCTACGGACTACCTAAGATACACAAGCCAGGGGTCCCCTCAGACCCATTGTCTCATTACCAGGTACACTAACACATCAATTAGCCAAAGAACTACAACAGAAACTGAAATACTTAGTTGACAACACTACCCACTCCATCCATTCCTCCCAAGAATTCCTCGACATCATCATGGACACCAGAATAGAAAAGGACAAGATAATGATATCCTTCGATGTAACAGCACTATTTACACCCATAAGCATCAACCTAGCCAAAGAGACAATTGTCACACTGCTGGACGAATCAGGAAGGCAGGAACCCTATGACACGAACAGCATCAACAAGGACAACACCCTGAAACTGTTGGATATGTGCCTCACGACCCACTTCACGTTTGATCATATATTCAAACAAATCAACAGAATACCAATGGGATCCCCAATATCAGGACTGATTGCAGAAGTGGTAATGCAAAGGTTAGAACAGACAGTGCTCCCCACTGTACAACCCAAACTCTGGGTCCGCTATGTAGATGAAATCTGTGTGATTATCAAATGCATAAGACTTGAAGAAACCCACCGACACACAAACAACATCCTCACTGGAATAAAAATTCATAAAAGAAGAAGAGAACAATACCGACTACCCTTCCGAGACATAATGGTAGAACGTAAGAACAATGGGAAACTCCAGGCCAGCATATTAGAATGACCACACATACGCACCAGATAATTAATTATCCTAGCAACCAACCCAACACCCATAAATGGAGCTGCACCAAAGCATTATAAAAATAAGCCACAAGACACTGCAGCAACCTGGAATTGCGCAAAGCAGAACAGGAGCACTTAGACAGAGTTTTGGATAGCCAAAAAGCACAATCCACGACAGACCACAACAAGAGGGCACAACATGACCAAACACACTAGTCACCCTACCGTATATCAGAGACATATCAGAGATGACCACAAGACTACTCAGACCCCTAGGTATCAGAGTACCCCATAAACCAACAACCACCCTGCAACAGCTACTGACGAACATAAAGGATCCCACACAACCAATAAAGCTAACGTAATATAAAAATACCACGCAAGGATTGTGAGTAACATTACATAGGCCGAACTGGAAGAAAACTGACAATAAGGATGCATGAACATCAACTAGCCACCAAGAGACACGATCAGTTCTCACTAGTCTCAATAGAAGGACACGAATTTGACTAGGACAACACATCTATAATGGCACAAGCCAAACAGACGTGGCCAGGGAATTCCTGGACGCCTGGTACTCCAATCGGAACTCCACCAACAAACACATTAGACTGGACCCAATATACAAACCACTGAAAAACAGAACCGGAAGTAATGCCAACCACCCCAGCAAACCGAAGCATATAAATAACAACTGGGACAGAACACCAAAACTTCACCGGGGGCGCACTGACGATGTTACCCAGCAGGGTGATGAAACATCTGCAATCAAACACACCGGCTCAGCGAGCAAATCTACAACCTCATCCACAACCCGAGCTACAAATCTTCTCAAAAAAAAAAATCATTAGTGACTTACAGAGCAAACGCCTCATATTAAGCTTTTTTTTTGGTGTTTGATCAAAGTGTATGTTTAAAACAGTTTTTGACGATTTCCATTACATCTCAAGATACTATCATGTTGTCCACCGTGTGGCCTTGCTATGTTGATGTCTATTGTTAGATAATTGATTTTTTTTTAATGCATCAACATTTCCTCAAGTCTCATTCTAATTATATTCCCTGACTGATAAAGCCTGATGGATCATTTTGGATTGCGTGTTAAATAATAGCTTTACCTGGATGTGGTGCCTTGCACCACAAGGTCACCCTGCCGGGTGGAGTTTAATTTCACGCACCAGAAGCCCATTAGTGAAGAAGTAATGGACACTTAGGAAAAAATATATCAAGAAAAGAAAAATATTATACAGTCTCTAAGGCCATAACAGGAAGAAACATGACAGAATGTATAATATCAGATGTATGGTCTGTGTGTGTCGGTGGGGGACTGAATGTAGAGCTCAGTATGGTTAAAGCACAAACTAATGGTTGAACTCTGAGGGTAATGCGTATGATGCAAAAGCTCATGTAATGAATATGCATGAGAAATTGATTACTTTCATCTTTCTGTATATGTGAAGGAAAGCACAGTTCAAGTGCAGAACAGTGATCTTTTTGACTTAACACTTGCCATGATCTTCTGCATCAGTGAATTGAGAAGATGAGACAGCTTATTTGCATAGAAACATCTACATTTATTTGTCAGTACAGTTATTTGCATGTTACAGAATTTCGAGGCATTGCGATGCCTCTGCAGGAATTGTTGACAAGTGCTATGGAGCAGTGACTGGCATAGCTCATAATAACTTGGGATGACTTTGAAAACTGTCAAGCCTGACGGAATGTTGTAAGATGATTTAGGAGATGCTGAGTTGTGCAGTGTTCATGGAAAATCAGGCAGAGGAGCAATATTTTGGGAATCTCTCTAAACAAAAATGTAAACAATGTGGATGGCGAACACTGAAGTAGCTGACAAAGATGGCTATCACTGCCTCTGTGTATGCAAATTGTACTGGTGACTTGGCGTTCACAGCTTGCATCTAGTTTGTGAATCAGCAATATGGTTGTGGCCAGTTTCAGCTCTCACAAGGATATGTCGCACTTAACTAAAGCTTTGGCTGCTGGTATGGTCGATATGGAGAAGCTCCCATCACAGGAGCAAGGTGGAGAAAGCCTTCTTGGTGCAGACAAAGGGTCAGGGTGCCACAACCTCTTTCAGACTTGCTGAGAGAAACTCAGGGAAGCATGAACTGGTTTTCTGTACTCAGTAAGAATGACTGGCTATTTATTATAAATAACTACAGTCAAAATTTCTAACTATATAGCTACGCAATTATGAACCGTTGACCTGTAACTGTATTTGTTAAAACTCTAACCAACTTATAAACTCCCCCTGTATATACATAGACAAATTTGAATTTAACATTGGTTCAGTTCTCCCTGCTGCCCCCATCTTTAGAAAGGAGTCTGGCAGGTTTTTCTCTTGACCTCTTTACACAAGGTGAGCTGTGATTCATAGCTGTTTGCAAAAGCTGCATAATGCTCCTATTTCTACTGCAGCCAGCATTATTATAAAAATACAATTCTAATCTTCTGAATCAATATTCTTTGGCTACACGATTAACCTTCAGTCTAATCTGACTGTCAACTAAATTACAAAAGGACTGCCAATTATCACCACTTTTAGTCATCACCGCCTCGGTCTTTTGGCGAAGATCAAGTGTAAGTTCCAAGTTGTGGGTCATAAGAGGATTTAAAGATCATTGCTGCATTGGATGTTGGAGGATTGTCAGTTGAGCTGAGCTATTCTTGTTGGATCTTTATGCTGGCTTTGGCCTAACACCAATTCAGGGTCCAGCCAATCACAGCTATGACCGCTGCAAGTACCTGTCCCCAGGCAGGGTATCCGGAACACAGTCAGGGTGAATGGGAAGAAGCTGGAGGAAGGTACATCAATCGGATATTCTTTGTGAAGAGAATCGTGGATAAGGGGTGGAAGAACGCACCCAACACTGCCCTCATCCTGTTGGCTACCTTTGTGTGTAGCCGTGTCAAGCTGTTCTTAGAACTTTGATCCACAAGCACCAAATGTCACTACATACTGAGGTTCTATCTGGTGTGGTGAAGGATGGGACTGGTCTCAGCACCACAGAAGGCTCCAAGTAGTTGGACCATTTCATATCGTTTGTCCCTTCTGGAAAAATTTACAAAGAAAAACACCTTTCACCACAAGTCCATCAGGAAGTAGTCAGCACATAGCATCCTCAGGTCCCTGCAGGAAAAGGACAGGGTGAATCCTGTTGTGTTGTCCCCTGAGCAGACTGTCAGTCATTCGGCAGAATGTCTCATTGCCAGAACTTTCCAACAAGCACCAAGATATCGCTTGGCTGCTGGTGAGAAGGGCACTACCTTTAAGATCCTTCATGCACGCCTGGACTCTGTGTGCCACTGCAAGCTGCCCTCAAAGCAGTTGTGGGCAGTAGAGACTGTCTCAAATCTCTTTCAGGAATGTGCCTTTGCAAAGGAAGTCTGGCAAGAGATGCAGTGGTTTTTATCGAGGTTCGTCCCGAGTAGCTCCATGATGCAGAACTCTGTACTCTACAAACATCGACTGCACCTGGAGAACCATCAACAGGGTGAAAAATGCTCTTTGGTCTGCCCAAAACATGTTGGTCTTCTAGTGCAAGGAATTGACATTGACCGAGTGTTGCAGACTGGCCCATTCCAAGTACTACGTGCTGAGGGACGCACTAAAGCTTGGGGCAGCTGCCATGAAGGCACAGTGGGGAAATAACTGTCTAAGGTCTTTCTGTAGAAATCAAATGGGGGTTCGTTCAATTCTCAGATTCCCTCATTGCCTCAATACGTATGTAAATAGTTTTCTGCACGACTGGAAAATGCCTCCATTAGTGCAGGGAAGTCTGAAGGAAGAATAATCATAATTTCACCTTTTGTGGCTGTTGTGCAGTTCCAACAGAAATCACGAGGAGGTAGCCAGTTTATACTCAAATAATCAAAGCATTGGTACTCACAGCCATTAGATACTGAATTGAAACTTCGCAAATTTTTCAGCTCGCTTACAGATGTCTGCTGATATCACATGGTGACCCCTTGAATTTCTAAATTTCATGTTTTCTTTAAAAAAAGTGATATCTCTTTACTGCAGATCGTGGAATAGTGGATAATTCTGGGAAATGTGTATTGTTCATGAGAGAGAAAATCTTCTGCTTAGTTGAGCTCTGAATCAGGTGCTAGAGAAAAAAAATGATGTTGCCAGCGAATTCTTTATTTTCCCATTTAATGAATACAGGATCTCGTTTTCATTAGTCTTTGTTCTCTCTAGATTTCTGTGCCTTGAGGGTACTGGCAAATTACCTTGAGGCTGCTCTTCACGGATGTTAAAGGACTTCAAAGTACATCCTACAACAAAGAGAACTGTTTCCAAGTACATGGCTTACTTGTCACACTCTCTATTTAGACAATTGTAGTGAGTCATCTGTTGGTGCCTCCCCACCTTTTTGCACTTGTCACCTTTGCATTGAAAGGCCTTGCTGCCCAGTTTCTTTCATGATTTTCACACAAAATATTCTCTGCTGCATAAAATGGATAGACTTCTGATGCAGCATATCAGAAAAAGGGACAAAAACCCTGGTAAAGTAGGGAGAAGCTAGCTTCTAATAAATCAATCACTCTGACACTTCAAGTAAGCAGTACCATTGAAGAATCACACAGAAACAAGCCATTCAGTCCCTCAAGTTAGTCTGAGACAACAAGGTGCAGGGCTGGATGAACACAGCAGGTCAAGCAGCATCATAGGAGCAGAGAGGCTGACGTTTCAGGCCTAGACCCTTCATCTTTTTTACATGTGAACCATTTAGTTGTGTTGCATGTTCTCTTCCTGCTCTTTGACTTGTTTTGTCTATTTAAGATATCAAAGGTGGTAATGGAGTGTCCTTAGTTATAATCCAAAGGTTCAGAGGTTCAAAGTATTTATATTTTTTTATTTCAAGGTAGATACTGATAACTTGTAACGACAGAAAATTTCCATTGACTGACGCAAAAGGATCACAAAAATTCCATGTTTTAAGATGTTTAATGTAGCAAGTGCACCAAAGCCGTCATTGTCGAAATATAAGTTACTGGGCAGCTAACACAATGAAATACAGAAAAGTTATTCCCTATAAACACATTACAACTGAAAACAACACGTAACCTTTATAAAGTCATGTATAAAGATCCAAGCTCCTCTGAGCTTTAACAGTATATCTTCTTCCTGCCCCAGCAGGGTCAATCTTATGTCCTTGTGAATCATCCCCTTACTCAACACAATGAACTTAATCAAATGAATTTCTTTAGTTCTTCCCAAACTTACTTTCTTCAAACCGTAGGTCCATCCTCAACAGCCCTCAGTTAGCTGGTTAATTCAAAATAAGGAGCTTTTTCCTGTATGGCACAGGAACACCTGGTCTGAGTCGTTTTCACCAATCTCTTGGTTGTAGTTTGGAAATAGTAGGAAGAGCTGCTTCCTCTCTCATGTGCAGGTATTAAAGATTACACCTTACTTTCTGTATGTTTTTACCAGAAATCCCGTCCCTGCATGCAGATTTTGTCAAAAGTCACATTCCCTTTCCATTTTTCACTATTTTTTTACCTCATTTGTATGATGTGGATGTCACTGGCTGGGTCAGCATTTAGTACCCATCCCTGTTTGCCCTTCTTGATCCACTGCAGTCCATGTGCTGTAGGTAAACGGTGGACCCACAACGCCATTAAGGAGGGATTTTGACCCAGCCACAGTGAAGGGACAGTGATATGATTCCAAGTCAGGACAGTGAGTAGTGTGGAAGGGAAGTTGCAAGCTATGGTGTTCCCATGTATCTGCTGCCCTTGTCTCCTTAAGTGGAAGTTGTCATGGGTTTGGAAGGTGCTGTCGGAGGAGCCTTGGGGTATTTCAACAGTGCATCTTGTAGATTGTACACACAGCTGCTGCTGAACATCTGTGGTGGAGAGAGTGAATGTTTGTGGATGCGCAACCATTCAGCGGGTTGCTTTGTCCCAGATGGTGTTAAGCTTCTTGAGTGTTGTTGGAGCTGCACCCATCCAGGCAAGTGGGGAGTATCCCATTACAGTCCTGAATTGTTCCTTGACGTCGATAGGCTTTGGGGAGATGGGAAATGAGTTACCGCAGCAGGATTTCTAGTTTCAGATGTGCTCTTGTAGCAACTGTATTAAAATGACAAGTCCAGTTCATTTTCTTGTCAATCTATCAACTTGTATCAAAATCCTAGAAATTACTGAATGGTGGCTGTGACAGAGCCATTGACAGGGAGGCACAGAGTGTGTGTAAAAACCCAATGGCAAGCCAAGAACCTGGAATGCCCTCCTTATTGACAGGGACTCTAATTAAATGAAGTTGTGTTACTTAATCAAGATATTTCTACCCTCCCACTCAATGATAGGGATGGCTGGGCAGTTAAAGTTCAAGGTCATGTAACCACTGATGATTATTAACATAATTCTGTTTTATGATCTTACTTGGTGCTTGCCATTAATTCACCTGCCTTCAGTTTTTGCTTTCTAGTTTTCTATTTCCTCTTAACAATTCTGCTTCCCTTGACTCTGAGTTCCCTCTCAGGTTACCAACACCCACTGCTAATTTTGATTTAAAAAAAACCCATCCAGGTTTGCAGCTTGTGGAGAAATGGCCCCAAGGCACTTGAAATCTGAACATGCACATGCATGCACCGCACCACACCCCACAGACCCCCTCCTGTTATGCTCCCTAATGCACAGGACTAACAAGCAATCCTGAGATGACTGCTTTAGGAGTCCTGAATTTGTGAATACTTCCAAGATCCTTAAAATCTTCTTTCAGGACCTCATCCTCCCACTTACCTAAGAAGTTGGTATTGACATGTTTCACAAACTCTAGCTGTTGACGCTTCTCTGAGCAAATGTTCTGCAGCCGCTCCATGGCATCCTTAACCTTGACACAAGGGAAACAAAATGCCATTCTGGAATGCTCTTTTTTGCTTCCTGCTTATAACAGGAGACTTGGAATTACTAAATCTGGGGCAGGAATTCTCATTGGTTTGCCACCTGATACTGCATTTACTTGGAATAGCCAGAGATGATATTGAAAAACCACTCTGAGCTGCTGCACTTGGATTTGGAAAATGCTTTGCAGCTCATTGCTTGACCTCATTTGTGCTGTAAGTGCAAAGAAATGTAATTGTGGCCCTTTTCCATTTGTACCCTGTTTTTTCTGTGTTTCGCAAAACACATTGCACAATTTTTTTTTCATTCCAGTAGTAATAGATTAGGTTTTAAATGATTTGGCTGCCTGTCAAATTCTATGTTGTAGTACCTTGACTGACCTCCCATGACTACTATTATACGTGCTATGCTCTAACAAATGAGAGTTGCAGCAGTGTTCTGGACTCGAGAAGCAGCAGATCTTTTTGAAGTGTGTTTCCAGCCGAACATGGTGTTTGAACTTACTGTGTACTAATCAATAAACAGTTCTTGCATTCGTCGTAGAAGAACTCAGCCCCAGGCATACAATTATCTGGCTAGCCCTATCTGGCCCTTTCCTGATTCTAGGGGTATTGAAGGGTTTTAACATTTTAATCTAATAAAATATTTACAACATAATCAGTTGCTCCACTTCTTTATAATAAGATGCTTTTAATGAGTTCTATTTTTCATTGACACATTTAACGTTTTGCAGTTCAGCTTTATCTCCTGGTTTTTGAACTTTGTGTTCTTGGCTTCCGTATAACAGCTTCAACCTTCAATAATATGATCTCGGTCCCTTTCTTTAATTGCACGGTTTTCAAATTAATTGACTGCATCTCACTGAAGTGAATGCCATTAGGATTAGCGAAAGTTCCCATGCCTGCTTCAAAACATACTGTATTGTATAAAGAATGAAATGAAAACAGACTTTATGTGGTCAATCAAGAGATTTAAAAGGGAAAGGGGTTTTGCTGTGAATTTGGACTTTATGGTCAAACCTATTAAATTGTGGCTTGTGGTTCTTCATTGTTAATGGCTGTTTATGGGGAGGTGATAGCATTGTGGTATAAGTGCCGGACTATTGATCCAGAAACCCAGGTAATGTTCTAGGGACCCGGGTTTGAATCCCATCACAGAGGATGATAGAATGTGAATTCAATATGCAAAAAACAAGACTGGAATTAAGAGTCTAATGATGACCGTGAATCCATTTGTTGATTGTCAGAAAAAACCACCTGGTTCACCAGTGTCCTTTAGGGAAGGAAACTGCCATCCTTACCTGGTCTGGCCTGCATGTGACTCCAGACCCACAGCAATGTGGTTAGCTCTTAACTTTCCTCTCGGCAATTAAAGATGGGCAGTAAATGCTGCCTAGCCAGTGACATCCTCATCACGCGAATGAATTTTATGAAATAATTAAGATATTTTTTATTTACTTTTCTGGGCATTAATACTTGATAAAGAAATATTTTTAGGTCCGGGTGATGAACTGTTGGAATTCTTCTACCACAGGGGGCTGTGGAAGCTCAATCTTGAAGTATATTTAAAGTAGAGATTGATTGATAGATTACTGATCGCAGTGGTATACAGAATTTTGGGGATGCGTTGAGTAAAAGGCATTGAAGAGTTCTACCAGCCATGGTCATAATGATTGGAAGGGCAGGCTGAACAGGATCAATGGTCTACTCCCATTGCTGTGTTCCTATGGTTTATGGATAACATTGAATCTGTTCTAATTTCACAATTAACATGACCCTGCTAAGTGTGAAGCAGTCTTAATCAATTGATATTTTTGTTTGTAAATCTGACCTATTAGGTTAAAAATGAAAGGTAGGGGAGGCATTTTGCTTTAACATGGCACTAATAATCTACAGACCATAGATCCAGAACAATCTGCTCAAATCCGACTACATCAGCAAGAGAATTGCGGCTCAGTTAATTAAATGAACTTTTGGGTTTGGTGTGGCGAAGTTTCAGTAAGGAGACAATGAAACTGCCAGGAGGCTCTTGTGGTGCAGGGGTAGTGCCCCTACCTCTGAGCCAGGAGGCTTGGGTTCAAGTCCCATCTGCTTCAGAGGTGTGTAATAGCATCTCTGAACGGGTGGATTGGAAAATGTCTGAAACTGCCAGCTTTTTGCGAAACTCCTCAGAGACATTAACCTTTCAGTGAAGGAAATTGGCCATCTTTGTTTGTCACTAATTCTCTTCCACTTTTACCCTAGCATGGACCTTGCCTTCTGTTCTTTATCCACCTTTCTCCACCCTCCTTCTCTCTTTCTCTCTACTCGCTTAAAACCTTCAACATTTCTAAGCTTTTCCTCTGCTAATGAAACATAATTGACTTATGTTAATTCTATTTCTCACCATAGGTGCTGCCCAACCTGCTAGATCATCATAGAATCCTAACAGTGTGGAAACAGGCCCTTTGACCCAACAAATCCACACCAACCTTCAGAGCATCCCACCCTGACCCATTCCCCTATAACCCACCTAATTTATACATCCCTGATGCCCAATCCATCTAGACTGCAGAGCTTTGGACTGTGGGAGGACACACGCAGACAGGGGGAGAATGTCTGTGTGGAGTTTGCACAGTCACCCAAGTGTGGAATCAAACCTGGGTCCCTGGCACTGTGAGGTAGCAGTGCTAACCACTGACCCACCATGCTGTTTCCATCATTTTCTATTTTATTGTCACTAAAGTTGTTTTCTGGGTGAATGCTAGCTCAAAAAGTTGGTTTTAGATACTATTAGATTTCAAAATAATGGAGGTTGACCAATCCATATGTCTTAATCAATTTATGCTGGACTTTGTTGGGTGGTACGGTGGCTCAGTGGGTAACACTGTTACCTCACAGTGCCAACGACACTGGTTTGATTCCAGCCTCGAGTGACTGTAATGAGTTTTCACGTTCTCTCTGTGTCTGCGTGGGTTTCTGCCGGGTGCTCTGGTTTCCTCCCATTGTCCAAGGACGTGCAGGTTAGGTGGATTGGCCATGGAAAATGCTGGATTACAGGGATGGGGGTGCTGTTCTGGGTCTGGGTGGGATGCTCTTTGGAGGGTTGGTGTGGCCTTATGGGCCAAATGGCCTGCTTCCATGCTGCAAGAATTCTACAATTTGTGTGTAATTGCTGAGTTTATGGATCATTGTGCAATAACGTCACAAATTATCACACCAATTCAATCTAATTTCAGGAGAACATTGGACAGCCGGGGAGGGAGGTGGTGGTAGAAGGGGCATGTAATATAAAGCTTTGTGGCTTTCCCACTGCATTTCTGCTCAACCTACCTTGTGGTTTAAGGAAGGCATCAGGCTGTCTTCCCACTGCTCTTATGCCTATTGAAGTCCTTAAGTGACCAATTAATGTGCACTCAAGTGCCTTATTACTCCTCCAACCCAATGTGATATCATCACAAGGTTGCAGGCTTTTGGAGCTGCGGTACAGGCTCAGACCTCATTTTAGTCAGGTGAATGGGGAATACAATACCTTGTAAAATCCAGCCCATTTTATCCCGATTCCTACCCCTGCTCAAGTTAATATTAGAATTATCCATCTTATGAATTCCTTTCACAAGCATTTTTGCTAAGGTAAAGTTCATTGTGAACCTTTGCAATTAATATTATTTTTCTTAATCAGTTTCTCAATTGAAATTGTACTTTTTCTCCTTCCCTACACAGGACACAATCTGGGGGTCAACAACAGCTACAAAAGAGGTACTGCACTTTTATTTGCATTGAAATCTTCGAGAGCCAATCACAATGCATTTTTGGAAAATATTTACAGAAGCTTGGTTATTCTGATATGTCGTGTTAACATGTCCTGAAGCAGTTGCCTTATTGTCTTGTTGTAACATTACATCATGAAACTATGGTTGCATTTTTGGTTAATGTCTATTACGAGTCATTACTCCGAGTTAGATTTACTACCTATGATCTACAATGATAGGATGGAAAAACTAGCTCTGTACTCTGACTCCTTCATTTTACCCCAAGTCTGTTATCCAGGTAAATGAAACTGAAGTGAAATTGTGATTGAGCAGATTAAAAATAGTCTTTCAGCAGTCATGAATTTTGTTTTTTTTTCCAACAACGCTTACTTCCGAAATATGCATTCTCAAAGTCCCTGTTACCCAGTCACCATAGTAACAGCTGCCTGTTTCTTCAAATTTCTACATTTTTTACTGAAACCAATCTTAAGTAATTAATTTGCAGCATGACAGCGCCATTATATTCTGAAGTGGATCATTGCTGCTTCCTCAGTTTATTCTATGCATAGTAGATATCTTAGAAGACGAAAGTAATCCCATTCCTTTTATTGGATACGCATTCTAATTACAAATTACTGAAACGGCGTCTGAAAAATAACACATCACACTTTTTGCATGAACTGAGGGGTTGAACCAGATGAGAGTCTTGGTAAGAATTAAGTGCATAGTCCAGGTAAAATTTATTTAATTTGTGATCAACACCTTGAACTTAACAATTGATGTTTGAGAAATGTTTGAACATTTTAATTTGAATACACAATTTATTAGTATCTTATGTTGTGTATTTACTGGCCATTGCAACTGTGGGGCCCTTCGGGATCTGTTTATACATATGATAGACACATAGTGGTCCACTTTGCTGCGAGCGGTCAGACAGATGCCACATTGAGTGCAGTCTACATATGTTGCTGCACCCTTTGAAGGACTACTGTATATGCAGGAAGTGTAACTTGGGGAAACAGTGAGGCTTGCGATTGACCACTGTGTTCTCTTGGAAGAGATAAAGGTAAACAAGAACCCTGCTCTTGATCCGCATAAATGTGAGATAAATACAAAACAGCACTGTAATGCCACACACAATCAGACAGCCTAATTTATGGTTGACATATGGAAAAGTTTTATTCTGATGAGACCTAAAAGAGTTATTGGGATAACTTGAGTCACTGCATTCAGGAACTGAGGAGCTGGGTGTTGGGAGTTGATATAATAGAATGAATGTTATCATGATGGTTTGGAGCACTTTGCAAAATCTATTTCCCATTATGTTTTCTTGTCAATTTACATAACTGATGCAACAAGTCCAAGCATGCAAACCCAAATCCAGAAACTTGCATTATGTAATCTGACATTTCATTGCAGCATTGAACTTCAACTTCAACCAAGGTGCCACCCACTCTTGAAGGGTGGGTGGAAAAAAGCTCATGTTTTTATTTGAAGAAGGGCAGGGGGCATTTCCTGTAGCCTTCGTCAATAGTTATTTCTTGACCAAAATCACCAAAGTTTAATTGGCCATTTATCTCTGCATTTTATGGCACCTTAAAAACAACTTCACTGCTATTCTTGCCAATGTTAGGATAGTGACTGCATTGCAAAAAAAAACCTTTGTGGGTAGGACGATGGCTTCGTGGTTAGCACTGCTGCCTCACAGTGTCAGGGACCCAGGTTCGTTTTCAGCCTTAGGTGACTGTCTGTGTGGAGTTTGCATATTCTCCACCTGGTTGCATGGGTTTTTGTCGGGTGCTCCGGTCTCCTCCCAAGGTCTGAAGATAGTGGGTTAGGTGGATTGGTCATGCTGAATTGCCCCATAGCATCCAGGGATGTGCAGACAAGGGGGGAAATTAGTCATGGGAAATATGAGGTCATGAGGATCGGGTAGGGGGCTGGGTCTGTATGGGATGCTCTTTAGAGGGTCGATGTGGACTCGATGGGCTGAATGGCCTCTTTCCACTATGTAGGGATTCTATGTGCAATATTTCAGACACCCTGAGATCTTGTGCACATTTGTTAGCTCGCTCTTTTAAAATCTGACAGCTATTTAATGAAGCTTGTATTGCCCATAAACAATTGAGGCTCTTGGTGGTTATGCTGTCAGGAAATGGATCAAGATTTATATCTTAAAATTTGATTATCTTTTAATGTTTCTGGAGCTATGCAACAAAACTAACTCAGGGGAGCAAGATAGGAATAATGTGCCCTTCAATTCTTCTCGTACTGTGTTGATACTGAAGATTAATTTAGATATATATCAAGAACAACTTTTTACACCCAATAAACTTTTTAGCAAAATTGAGGCCCAGATGATTGAAATGGAAGTGGTTGTATGGATACAAAGAAAGCAGAGTCTTGTCTTTGGACTACTGCTATTTTGCTATTGTTTGATCATACAGATCGATGATTTTGACTTGTACTTGATGTAAAGGGCATATTTTTCATGTTTATATATTAATAAAACTTATAAATGTAGTAAGCACCAAGAAAGATATGAACAGACTTCAGATCAGATGATATTGTGCCCAATTCTGTGCAACACACTTCAGGGAAAGTGTCAAAAACTTGAAGACGGAGTGGAGATTTATTAAAATAGTACCAGACACAAGGAGCTACAATTATTTGTCCAGATTAGGAAAGGTGCAGTTTTATAGCAGAGAAGACGAAAAGTAGTTTCAGTGGAGTTACTCAAAAGCTTGCATGGTTTTGCTTGAGCAACAAACGAGAATCTGTTTTAACTGGCAGAAAGGTCATACCAAGGCATATGTTTAAGGTAATTGGCAAAAGCCCTGCTGCACAAGGTCATGAATATGAAAGGGTTAATCTGAGCTAAACCGATGCTCCACCTATTGTGATTGATACCCTGGCACTACTGGAGCATTAGGGTGTTTGGCAGACAACAGTTGGATCAACCTCCTCGAGATGTCACTTGTCTTACCTACCCCTTGTTATTAACACTTACCTGCTTCTGTGTAAATGCAACCTATTTGTAGTTGCTAAATTGTAATAAACTATTTTCTGCTGATGCTTTGTCACAGTTCATCCTCCACCAAAGAGGACTGAAATGACCCTTACACTATGAAAAGAAGAAACCTTGCTTGGAGAGGGTGGTGCTGGCATGGAATGCTGTGGGCCATCACAACAAGTCCAGCTGCACCCCTAGCCAAGCTGTTCCAGTATAGTCACAACTCTGGCATCTACCTGACAATATGGAAAATTACCCAGGTATGTTCTATACACACAGAACAGAACAAACCTAACTTCAGTAATTACCACTCTATCAGTCTACTGATCAGTAAAGTGATGGAAGGTATCACTGACAGTGCAATCAAATGGTACTTACATAGGAATTACCTGCTCACTGGTATTCAGTTGGGATTTCGCAAGGACCACTCAACTGCTGATCTCATTGCAGCCTTGCTTCTCTTCGAAAAGAACTGAATTCCAGACGCGAGCTGATAATGACTACTCCTGATATCAAGGCAGCATTCAACTGAATATAGCAGGACAAGGCATCCCACTTAATGCTTCGGTATTCACTCTCTCCACTGACATACAGCAGCAATAATGTATACCACCTAGAAGATGTGCTGCAGAAATGCATCAGGCTCTTTAGGTTGCACCTTCCAAACCCACAAAGGCTACCACCTAGAAGGGCAAGGGCAGCAGATACATGGGAACACCACCACCTGAAAGTTCCCCTCCAAGCCACACACCGTCCTGACTTGGAATTACATCCCCATCTTTTCACTGTTGCTGGATCCAAAATCTGAAACTCTTTTTCTCTAGCAGTACTGTGGGTGTACCTACATCCCAAGGACTACATTTGTTCAAGAAGCCAACTCACTGCCATCTTCTCCAGGGATCTTAGATATGGCCTGACTAACTAACCACAAACCTCTAGTGCTTCGAACTAAACCAAGTGCTTATAACAACATGATGGTAGTGGTGCAGATGTGACTTCTTTCACAAAGAGAAGGAATCCAGAAAAGTCCAAAAAGACATAACAGAGTAAATTTTGCAAAAATAAAAATGAGCTACTACTTTAAGTGCACATACCTTTGAAGAAAGGACTAGTCAGCCAGCTCCTGTGATTTATTTCTTTTAAATAGGCTACAGAAGCTGCAACAGCTCGTTTGAACATTTTTACTAAGTGGAGAGCTGAGAAATCAGTTCTTTTGAATAGAATAACAAGAAAGAAATATTAAGTCTTTAACCTAAACCTGAACTTGCAGTTAATTGTTTTGACTTCAAAACAATGTTCAAAGAGATGATTTAGAAGTATTTTTCAGAATTTACAAGCTTTGAAACGTTTGAAAGAAATTTAGACAATTTGTTCCGAGTATCTTGTTAACTTACAGAATTTAACAGTCTAAAGAATTTTTTAAAATATGTGAACTTTTGCAAGAAAATGGATTTAAAGAAGGAACAATTTAAAAGGCAAAAAACATTAAGAAGACAAGGTGCAATAAAAGGCAAGAGACTTTAAAGGGGAAGAATCTGTAAAAGATAAAACAGTTTACACAATAAGAACATGTACGAGACAAAAGACTTAAAAAACACCTGAAAGCAGTAAATCGTGACAGAACAACTAGTTCATCCAATTTATAGCTTCATTAGAACAATTTGGTTTTGTCCAACAGCTACGCAGAGCTTGGGGAAAAAAAAGAAGCTGCAAAGGCACTAACAGGCTTTAAAACAGTACTTTTCAATACAGAAGACCAGATGATTGAAAAATTCAGATTTAAAACATGTTAAAATGATTAGATTAATCAACATATTAAGAAAGGGATGACATACAATGGATGCCATCAAGGAAGCCCCTTGAAATATAAAACACCAAGCTGAACACCAGATCAAAAACAGATGTTAATACACCACAGTATTCACTAGGTTCAGTAGCAGATCACATTAGCAATCACCAGAATATAATAAAAGGCACAGACACCTTCACTGATG